GATAAAATAACAGATTTGGTATGTAGTTAGTAGATTTGGTATGACATAAACCAGGATTAACTGTCGTATTCAATTATTATTCTTGGTCATTTCCTGTTTCACTGGAAATGACTACAACTGTTGACTTTTAAATGGTACCCTTAGTATTTTTTTACTTTATTTGATAGAAAATGGCATTCAGAATGGAATGATATATTATAGTCAACCATTGACATTTTCGCTTAAAAAAATGGTATTTTTAAATTTCAATCTAGAGTGTTAATATATCGGTGTTCATAACGAAAATTTTACTCGAAATAGCCAGTATGTGGTACCAAACTATTCGTAAAAAAATGCTTTTTCCAAATGCGCTAATGAGTTAACCTCGTTCCATTTGGAAAAATTGAATTATGATTAAAAATATGATTGAAGAATCTTTTAACTGACAAGGAAACGCCACAACAAACATGAAACTATCAAATTTAATCTCTTTTCCAAAGCTCCTTGATTAGAAATTAGTGTTTTAGCACAGGTATATATATACAGGGAGAGTCTTAAATAAGTGCAAATATTTTCAGGGGTGGTATATTTCGACCCCAGGAACACGTCTATGATGTTTTTTTCGCTAAAAAAAGATGTTGAAAATCGTGCATTTTCTGTTAAATTTCGCTGAATATTTTTCGAAAACTTTTTAGAACTGCCTGTTCACCGCAAATTTTCCCACGGTATATTCCTTAATCTCAGATATTACCCTATTGTCATAGTTATGGCTTACTCTATGGTTACGGCAATAAAAGGGATGCAAATACAGAGAAAATCCGGTGGCTGTCAACATTTTTTCAAAGAAAAAATATTTTTTTTTTAAATTTTCAAACTTAAATAACTCGGTTTTTTTAGATTTATCTGAAAAATAGTAAAGAGAAAATATGTTTCTTTTATCGAGATCTACCAGCCCTGAAAATATTTGCACTTATGTAAGACTCACCGTGTATACAGGGTGGTCCGAACTCTTTTCCGGAAACTTCGGCAGCATATTTTACAGACCAAAAAAAGTAAAAAAGTTCGTATAAATGTATGTCCTAAAATGCTTAGTTTCGGAGATACAGGGCGTAGAGGTTTCATTTTTATTTCGATTTTTTCCAAATCATTTCTGAAGTAACATCACTATTTGGATGAAAATTGGTATCTGGGTGTTTAGTGGCACGAGAAATTTAATTTTGATGTCAAAATTACTCCTATTTTTAGGGACGCCACCTACATGTGTTTTAACTGTTTTGAAAAGTAATAACTTTTCGACCGTACCTGTATAAAACTACTGACTAAAAAAATATACATTTCCATGACTTTTTATGTAAAAAATGTCTCTTGGTTCGCTAAAATCGCTATGAGCAACCGTTCTCAAGATATTTAGAATGGAAATAGTCAATACATGTCATTATTGACAAAAAATAAGCACACGTTAAGTATAGACTGAAATAATAATTTTTTATTTTTTTAAATTAATCATAAGTTTTTCTGCGAAAAAAATGATGATTAAACAGTTTCTTTTGAACTTTTGTCACAAAAAGATTTCAAATTTATGATTTCAGTCTAATAGCTATTTAGTCAACATGTTTAATTTATGTCAATGATGACTGGTATTGATAATTTCGATTCCAAATATCTCGAGAACCATTACTGCTAGCGATTTTTACCAAGAGACCTTTTTTATGTAAAAAAAGTCGTAAATGTATATTTTTTTTACTCAGTAGTTTTATAGAGGTACCGACGAAAAATTATTACTCTTCAAAACAGTTAAAACACATGAAGGTGGCGCCACCTACAAATGGGAGTCATATTGACATCAAAATCAAATTTCTCATGTCAAAAAACATCGATCCACCAATTTCCATCCAAATATTGACGTTACTTCAGAAATTATTTAGAAAAAATCGAAATAAAAATGAAATTTCTACACCCTTTATCTCCGAAAGTAAGCATTTTTGGACATACATTTATGCATACGAACTTTTTTACTTATTTTTATCTGCAGAATATGCTGCCGAGGTTTCCGGAATACAATTCGGACCACCCTGTATATATAGGTATAGGTCTAACACAGCCCATATGGTACTCTAAATTGAATTTTAAAATAATATTTTATTGCGAAAATGTCAAAAGTTTTAGTCTAAGAGCTAGCAACGTTTTCGAGAAAGTATTTTAAGACGTCTGGCTCTTTGATATATCTTTTACTATGCTCTCTGGAACAGCATGCGGCCCGTCTGGCTGCCGATATCCGTTGCGTTCACTACTGCGCATCGGAAGAAGATCCTATATTTTTTATTAATTTAGTCCTATAAATTCTAGTATTGAATATAAATCGAACATGTCTCCATAGCGCCGTGCGTAGAGTTCCGACCACGAACCGATGATTCAGAGTTCGAATCCCGGTCAGGACAAAGATTTTTTATTTTATTTTCGTTTATATTCTGATAGTAAAGTATTAAATAATTCTGGTAATTAAAAAAAAATATATAATACTTTAATCAGAATATAAACAAAAATAAAATAAAAAAAGTCTTTGCCCTGACCGGGATTCGAACTCTGAATCATCGGTTCGTGGTCGGAAACTCTACGCACTGCGCTATGGAGACATATTCGATTTATATTCAATACTAGAATTTAAAGGACTAATAAAAATATAGGATCTTCTTTCAATGCGCAGTAGGGAACGCAACGCTTACCGGCAGCCAGACGGGCCGCATGCTGTTCTAAAGAGCATAATAAAAGATATATCAAAGAGCCAGACGTTTTAAAATACTTGTTTTTCCGACGTTGCTAGCTCTCGTACTATTTAGTCTTTCAAATAAAGTAAAAAATACCGAGGGTGCCATTTAATTAATCAAAAGATCATAAAAAATAATCAAAATTTGTTTGAATATGTCAATCAATCCTGATTTATGTCATATGCTAAAATACCAAATCTCGTTTTTTATCTGAAAAAAATGAGGGTGGGCCGCTTTTGAAAAACACCCGGTATTGCAGTTTTAAAGTTTAAAACAGAAATATAGATATGGAAAAATTGAAATCGAAATGTTTTATTTTACACCTACGCCGGCGCCGTTTGACTTTTTTTCTGTAATAGTATTTTTAGTAGCAAAATTGAGATAAAAGCTAAAAATACATATTTATATGAATTATTATGTTATCTTATTTTGTGTATAATAGTTTCTAACAACTCCCATATTATGTTGTAAAAATAAAATTTATTGTTATTAAAACGTAGGTAATATTCAAATGTAGGTGTTCTAATAATTATTGGTAATGTAGGATTATTGTATTTGCAAAATCAACATCACACAAATCGAATGACATAATAACTGGTTACACATCGAACCATGTAATTTACACGTGCTTTTTACTTGATCTTATTAATGACTCTAACACAGATTAACAACAGAATATTACTGTCGAATGTCATAAAAGTGTCTACATCATAAATAAAAATATATTATATTGCAGTCTTATTATATACTCCCAAACTTGTTGATTTATCTACTTACGTTCATAGGTACGTAATGTGTCATTATCAAGGGTGTTTCAGAAAACATGTGCCATCTCTCGTGGGGGATTCCTCACGTAAAAATAAGATTTTGTGTTTTTTATATCAACACAGGTCCGATTCTGCTTAAGGTCTTCATTTTTTTCGATTTATTATAATTTTCTTCCAAGTGCTTGAGGGTAAAGTTACTATAAGTGATATATATCGTATGATCGAGAAAAAACGGTGTCAGCGATGGCTATGAAATGAACATCGATGACATTTCCCATATGCTAAAAAAGTGTCCTTGTATTCACCAGGGACGTGCATATACCAAAAAAATATCAAGATACAACTTTTAATCGGCATTAAACGGCCTTAACAATTTTCCTCATAAGAGAAAATCAGGGGCGCACGTGATTTTTTTTTAAAAAATATTCCAGTGATAACCCATATGCACGTTCCTGGTGAATCTGTCGACACTTTTTTGACTTTATAATACCGTATGATCGAATAGAAACGGTGTCAGCGATGGCTATGAAATGAACATCGATGACATTTCCCATATAAATTTACACATAAAATGACAGCGATCTTCATTTCATAGCCATCGCTGACGCCGTTTCTATTCGATCATACGGTATTATAATGTCAAAAAAGTGTTGACAGATTCACCAGGAACGTGCATATGGGTTATCACTGGAATATTTTTTTAAAAAAAATCACGTGCGCCCCTGATTTTCTCTTGTCAGGAAAATTGTTAAGGCCGTTTAATGCCGATTAAAAGTCGTATCTTCATATTTCTTTGGTATATGCACGTCCCTGGTGAATACAAGGACACTTTTTTAGCACTAAAATTATGTCGCACTTATATAATAACTTTTATCCTCAAAATTTAATTCGAATCGCTAAAAGCACTTTGAAGAAAATTATAATAAATCAAAAAAAATTGTTAAAAAAAGACTTTAGCATCCTGTAGCCGCGAAACAAAGGAGAATCGGACCTATAATAATATGTACCGTATAATCGAAAAAAAAAACGGCGTCCAGTTGGCTGGGAAATGAACATCAATGACATTTCCCATATAAATTTACATATAAAATGACAGCGATCTTCATTCCATAGCCATCGCTGACGCCGTTTTTTCTCGATCATACGGTATAAAAGATCTTATTTTTACGTCAGAAATCTCCCCTCGAGAGATGGCACATTGTTTATTTAAAAATTATATTAAAATAAAAAATTATGTTCCTATTATTGGTTAGATTCCCAATTTATATGTATTAACCGCATGATAAATCCACCAATAACTAGTCGTAAATAAATTCTTTATCCGAAATCAAATGGAAATTAAATTGTTTGTTGTGAGAAGTGTTCTAATTATTCCCAGTAAAGCACCAATCAATATTAGGCTTAAATTTTGTTGATTAAAATTCGGATAAAAAATCAACAAGTTTGGACAGGATTACGCCGTTATCATCTTTTTCTTGTGAATTATATTTTGGGGTGATTTTAACCCCATCTCAGCGGTTGACCCATTATTCTTCCCCTTGTTTGTGTACTGAAACAAAAATGTTATAATAAGGTGCGTTCACACCGGCTGCGCCGCTCCGCACCGCGCCACGCAAATCATTTTTTTAACATATACTTTTGGGCGCGCTAAAAAAATACACTTCAAAAGTACATGTTAAAAAAATGTTTCGCGGAGCGGCGCCAAGGTACCTATAAATGACACATAAAAGTAAAATAATATAATGTATATCAGTGGTGTTCAGGTAGATATATTTTAGTCAATAGCTTTGTTTGCAAAATTGGAATGTTGTGTTTATATGTCCCGGATTGTCTTTACAAGAGGAGAAATTGTTTTATTATTAACATTTTGAGCAAAATACCGTATGATCAAAAAAAAAAAACGGCGTCCAGTTGGCTTCGAAATGAACATCGATGACATTCCTTATATAATTTTACATTCAAAATGACAGCCATTCATTTTCACAGCCATCTCTGACGCCGTTTTTTTTCGATCATACGGTACATGTGTTCGTATTACAGTGTTCGTATTACAGTGTCCGTATTACAGTGTCCGTACATATTAGTGTTGGAACCTTTGATGTTACAACAGCAAAATAAATCATTAATTCTCCACAATACACCGACACTCTCTCTTACTTTTACACTGGACGCGCGTTTCGCTATAGGTTAAAGAAAAAACAGCGTCAAGACAGCTGAGGAAAGACAATCGATAATACTTTAGACGAGGTCAAGCACTGACGTCATTTAATTGGCCTGTACTCATCTTTATTTTTTTAATTGCGCTTATAACCAGTTGGGTCTCTAAGAAGGTTGTAATTTATTTTTTATATTGAGTAAAAATGTGTTTAAATGGTGTAATTTAAAATTCGAGAAAAATATTTTTGTTTGGAAAAAGATTTGTGTGACTGGAAACGTTCTATCTTTTTTAAATCTTTATACAATTAGTGTTAAGTTTTATGTCAATTTTAGTAAATGACGTCGAGAGGTTGACCCGGCCCAAATTATCATCGATTGTCATTTCCTAGAGCTCTTTGACGCCGTTTTTTGTCATCATACGCTATGTTGTACTTTAATAATAAAAATCCATTTATTGCGATAATTTACTGTTTTTTTTTCTGAAAATTGTAAAAATACCTACGCTAAAATGTAATTCTAACTAGCTTGACAAACAATGTCTTCTCTGGGCCGAAATCAACAAACTCCCACATTCAACTGTTTCCAAAGCCTACTACTCCGCTACTCGCCAACATCAGCGGACACGGGGTGCAGGCACGGCGTGAAAAGGACTGCCTATCATAAGGATCATAGGCGTCGATAACATATATATATATATATATATATTTAGAAGCAGTAAAATTTTTTAACAAAATACATACTTTTCGAACAAACTGAATTAAATGCTGAGAGAGCTTCTAAAAATTTACCTAGATAAATTTTGCCGTTTGAGAGAAATAATTTCGTTTGGTCTAGGTAAAATATACCTAGTCTTAGAGAAAAAATAATATTAAAAAGAACGTTCTCAATTTTATTAAATTCCTAAATAATACAAAGTGATTCTTAGATCTATTCTAATAAAAAAATCCATATGAATGTATTGTCTGTTCAGCGATCGTTCAACGTTACGTCATATTCATTATTTGTAGTTGTCATCATTATTTGTAGTGTTCCATTTAAAAAAATCATCCCAATTCACTCACACTTTTTTGAGCCACCTTATAGAAGTTAAAATATTTTCCTGAAATTCATCCTAGTACATACTTTAGGTTTGTACTTAAACAACATTCCGAAGTTTTTTATTCTAGGAGCTACAGATGCCCGACGCACTATTGCCGAACCCTGTATAAAAACCTCAGAGTTATGAAGAAACGTAAACATTTTTTTAGAAAATTTTACCACCCTGTATCTCAAAAGTTAAGATGTTTCGGACATACGTTCATATGAAGTTTTTTTTTTCTTATAATAGATCCAAGAATCTCTCCCTGAAATATTAACATTTTATTAAAGAACATCCTCTACTTTAGAATTTTTATTCTTTAAGATTTCGATTTTAAGTATCTACACAATGACATTTTCTCGAAATGTATTTTACACATACATTCGATTCGAGATTCGAGTTGTCATAAACAGATAAATATTACATTTTGAAGATAGTATTTTTCGCCTACTTATATTTATAAAGTGAAAATGTAACACGTACATGTCAGGTTCCAAATAAGTCACTGGCTAAGTGCCTAATCGACTTTATGTAAAGAAAGAATGAAATTTAACTACAAGGAAGGAGTATAATCAATAGATGTCATTGAGTATAATGCTATCCATGTATTCATGCATTAGAAACAGAATTTACATCATGAGACCAAATAAACTCACAAATAAAGACCAAAATACACGTCCTCACCTGATATTTTCTAAGCTCTTCGTCCTGTACTCGCTCCTGATAGGGTTCCTGTCCTTGCCCAGAGAATTCACGGGACCCCACCGTGCAAACATGGACAAGGCCCTCTTTTCCGTCAACAGGGCTTCGCTGTCACCTGCAAAATATACGAGAGAAATCAACAATGACATATCAAAATCTTTATTAGTATAATACAATTTAACATTGCTTTAACTTCTATGGAACAGGCATATTAAGAGCATTACCAGCAAAACCACAAAGGCTCTCATGATATGCAGAAGACTTGCGGGAAATAGATGGGGCTGCACCCCTAACATCTTGTGTTGGATGTATACCATGATAGTAAGACCCATGATTACCTATGGAGCAGTTGATTGGTACACAAAACTATAGCAACGTACGGCAAGGCAAAACTTGTGCAAAATATAGAGACTGGCATGCATCTGCATGACAGATGCCATAAGACCCTGCCATGAACCTGCCCAACAGCAGCAATGGAGGCCATTCTACACTAATAATAATAATACTTAATACCACTGAACATTGTCGTCGGTAGATAGTAGATATGCCACTGCGACAATGATTAGAATGGCCATGATTAGAACTCCCAGTGGAGGACATATCAACAATGAACAACTGTAGTATTGAGCAATAAACATGATTGGAAGAAATGCTAGCTCGAAACCTTTGTTCAGCAGGTAAAAGAACATGCCATAGCATGGTATACTGCTTCAGACCTTTTTATTGAAAATACATGAACTTTCAGCGTGTTCTAGATAGATCTGCTCTCAATATCAGTTTACGGACTGTGAGTAGAATCTCACAAAAAGTGAAGACTAACGTTAACTCATTAGAATTTTAAATATTTCATTCAGAAAACTTGCTAAACATCATCATCATTAACATTTTTAGCTTATTCAACCATTTCCAATTATGGTGTAGCCTCTCTCACATATTTAGATAATCTCTTTGTAGTTGGATCCATTGGTTGTCTATTGTTGGCTATGCGGGCCCAAGTTATCCCTGCTAATTTCCTAATAGTTCAGTAATATTATGGCTCAAATTGCGGTATATCCGACAAAATTCATAAAGTTTTCTAAATTGGTGGAAATAATCAGGACATCATATGTATTAATAAACTGAAAAGTTCCCACCCCTAAATAGTGTGCGTCATCCCCGAGGACATCGTTTCTACCCCCATTTTGAGTTTTTTTAGATAACCACTATAGTCAGGTCAACGGTGCAATTCTCGACAAAAATACCTATATAGAAAATTGTTCTTCATAAAATTCTCTATCAAAAGGATAATTACACTTTCTTTCTAAAGTTAATAATAAATTAAAATATAGGGCGCAAATATAAGGGTTGGTTATAACTAGCACTATCTTCAGATCAATCTAATTTAAAGTTTAACGCTAACAAAAAGCAGTAACCACTAAATTATACTTAGAATTTTAATATATGTTCTTCTCTCACACTCTTTTATGTACTTCAACAAACTTGTTGGTAAAGCCAACTACATTGTTATGTTGTCAAAACTACCACCCACTTCTGCTGCAGCTCGGCAACACTCGTATCGGGGTTTTCACCAAATTTAAACATGGAGAGGAGTTATGCTCGAACCTACCGACTGGGGATGGAAAAAAGTTGGCGGTATATTAATCCCAACAATGACAAACAAAGAGCCAGCCCCCGCATCTGTTTTAACGCTTCTGTTCATGCAAATTAGGGTGCGAATACAGATGTAGCTGCAGAAGAGCAGGCTTGCGTTGCCCTACAATGTGTTATCATTGCCATGGACAGTCATGCTTGAATGTTGAACCTGTGGAAGATGACAAAGATTACTAGTTAACATTTGATAATTAGTGGATTAGGCCTACAAGGAATACCACTTTAAAAAAAACGCATCAAATACTTTACCTCTAGCGTGATGTGGAAATAAGTACAAATCATCCTTTTTACAGGGCTAGAGGAGTGCTAGAGAAGAACGTATATTAAAATTCTTTGTATAATGTAGTGGTTACTGCTTTTTGTTAGCGTTAAACATTAAACTTTAAATTAGATTGAACTGCAGATAGTGCTAGTCATAACCAACCCTTATATTTGCATCCTATTTGCCACTTTATTATTAACTTTAGAAAAAAAGTGTAATTATCTTTTTGATAGAGAATTTTATAACGAACAATTTTCTATATAGGTATTTTTGTCGAGGATTGCACCGTTGCAGAGATTATCTAAAAAAACTCAAAATGGGGGTAGAAACGATGTCCTGGGGGATGACGCACACTATTTAGGGGTGGGAACTTTTCGGTTTAGTAATCCTCATGCTATCCCCAACATACCTACCAATTTTCAAAACTTTCTGAATTTTGTCGGGTTTAAATCGTAATATTACTGGATTATAATGTCATGGTCCCATCTCAGGTTCGGTCTTATTCTAGGTCTCTTAATTCCTCGTGGGTACCATGCTGTAATTTTTGTGGTCTATCCGTTGTTCGTCCTTCTTGCCATGTATCCTGCCCATTGCCATTTGAGGTATTTGACTCTGTGGATGACATCTATTACGTCTTTTGTCATATCCATTCTATTCGTTTACGGTCTCTCTTGGTTATTCCCAGCATATTTCGTTCCTTTGAGCGTTTTGCGACCTGCAGTTTCCATTATGATGTCCATTTTAAGTGTCCAGGTTTCGCATGCATAAGGCATCACTCGTAGTACACATTGGTCGAATGTTTTCTTCTTTAGATAAAGTGGCATTCTAGATTTGAATTTGATTTGAAAACTTGCTAATAACTTCATTTAATTAGAATTTGTCTGTGTTAATCATAGACCTAATAGTAAAGTAATAATGTAGATAAAAAAATTGTATTTGTATTGTGTCTAAAACTGAAGTGAGAAAGTACGAAATGTATTTGATACTTGTCAAAAGTCAAAGTAAAAAGTAGCAATGAGTTTTTATTGATTTTCCTATACCAAACAAAATACCGATTAACACGCAAGAATTAACCTGTCCAGTGTTAATAAAGGCGCGGTAATTTCTAAAGATATTCTTGTTTTCTATGGAAATTTCATGCAAATTGGAAATTTCACAACATCGCAAATTCGGTCGGGCGTTAAACCGGAGTGCTCGAAACCCGATTACTTCCGAAATACCTTGTTTTGCTCAAAATTCAATTTGCTTTTGACGATTTAATTTAGTGTTTTAGGTTAAATCGGTGTTAGTAGATGTGTTTCAGTATACAGGGTGTTTCATATTCGAATCTCACCATTGAAAACTAGGAAATGGCAAGAGATACAGGGCCCGATGGCTTAAATTGGACAAAGTTGCCCGTTTCCAATAATATGTTTAGTAATCGAATTTAGCTTTGTCCTTTCCGGAAATATGGCGAAAAACTAAAATTTCCGGTTCTGTTTTTTTTACGAGTTTATTTTGACAGAAAAAAAATCAAATACATTCTCAAAGAAACTTTTTTACATCATCCATTATTAGTGACATGAAAATCACTTAAAACGTTTCGTATGTCTGGGACAATGCTTAGTTTCGGAGATACAGGGTGTAGAAGTTTAATTTTTATTTCGATTTGTTCCAAATAATTTCTGAAGTACCGTCAATAGTTGGATGAAAATTGGTGTTTGGGAGTTTTTTGACTTGAGAAATTTGTTTTTGATGTCATTATGACTCCTACTTGTAGAGGGCGCCACCTAGATATTTTTTAACCGTTTGGCGACTAATAACTTTTTGTTCGTACCTGTATAAAACTACTGAGTACAAAAATATAAATTTTCGTGATTTTTTACGTAAAAAATATCTCTTGTTAAAAATCGCTACGAGCAACCGTTCTCAAGATATTTAGAATGGAAATAGTCAATATATGTCATTATTGGCATAAAAATAAATAAGTTGAGTAGATAATTGTTTAACTGAAATAATTGGAAAATATTTGTTTTTTGGATTTTTTTTTATTATTTCAAATAAATCATAAATTAATGTTCTGCGAAAAAATGATGATAAAACAGTTTCTGTTGAACTTTTGGCACAAAAACATTTCAAATTTATAACTTCAGTCTAATAACTATTTAGTCGACATGTTTAATTTATGTCAATGATGACAGGTATTGATAATTTCCATTCTAAATATCTCGAGAACCATTACTCGTAGTAATTTTTAGCAAGATACCTTTTTTACGTAAAAAACGTTGTAAATGTATATTTTTTAATCAGCAGTTTTATACAGGTATGGACAAAAAATTATTACTCTTCAAACCACTTAAAAATATGTTGGTGGCGTCCTATTCAAGTAGGAGTCATATTAACATCAAAATCAAGTTTCTCATGTCAAAAAACATCAAGACACCAATTTTTATCCAAATATTGACATTACTTAAAAAATGATTTGGAAAAAATCAAAATAAAAATTAAACTTATACACCCTGTATCTCCGAAACTAAGCATTTTAGGACATACATTTACACGAATTTTCTTATTTATTTTAATCTGCAGAATATGCTGCCGAAGTTTCCGGAATACAGTTCGGACCACCCTGTATAGCACTAACCCAAGAAATGCTGCTTGTTTTTAGACGCATATAACCGAAAGTGACCCGTATACCCATCTCTCTAGAACACATTGTCTCTTATAAGAATATTCTTTATTAGACGTTTCTTGCGCTGTCATTGTATTTGCAAGGTCATAAGTTTCTAAAAAATGACATAAAAAAAACAAATCCCTGCAAAATAAAATCCTAAATCACATCACTGTTTTGCTGTATTGCGGTGATTTAGTGTTTTATTTTGCTGTGTAACACAAACAAGAAAGATGATTCACATGATGGTTCCAACCAGTTGATGGTTCCAGAAAAACGAAACATCTTAAGTGATTTTTCACGTCACCAAAAGATGAAGCTAAAAAAGTTTCTTTAAGAATGCCTTTATAGATTCTTTTTAACTGTCAAAATAAACTCATAAAAAATAAAAACTGGATGCTCTTTTATGTCTGTCTCCAGATATTTTCTTAATCTCCCTCGGCACATTAATGGAACAACAACACTACATTTTTTCTGCTAATGACTTACCGTTATCCAAGATATTTTTAATGTAATCTTCCGAATCGTCACTATTTCCAGATTTTTCTTCTGCCTGTGCCTGTCGAAGCAAATCACTCAGTGGATAGAACCACAGGGGCGGTTCCGTGGGCTCTATAGACTTCGTCGTCACGTGACATAACTGTACGACAGCTATAAGAAATACCAGGTTCCACATCTGAAAACAAATTTAATAATTTAATTTAATGTGTACTAAAATTTATCATTTTAACAAGGACCTAAAGGACCTAATTCTAAAACAACAAAGAAACTGCTAACACTAAGCAGAAATATAAAGTGCGGAGTACAACAGGTTTCTTGACAGGACATAGTTAGTAGTTAAGTACTACCTGAAAAAAGTTCAAACTGTATCAAGGAAATATTTGCTGCAGACTCTGCGATAAAGATGCTGAAACAGGTAAAAGGTGCTGAAAGATGCTGAAACGGTAAGCAATACTAGAACCGGAGGAACTATGCTCCCATCCTATTAAGGACCTGCACTAGCTCGTGCAGGGCACAGGGATAGAGGAGGAGATATAGAAGGGGACAAACACAAACGCTTCTTAATATTGAGTAAAAAAATATTTAAAATCTAAATATAATGAAACCTATTAATTTAAAATTTTGAAAAATATATTTTTACTATAGTAGAAAACGTTAGAACTAGTTATTGTGGTTTTCTCAAGTGTTCGTCATAAAGCTACAAAACCATAAAGTAGAAAGCAAAACATTTTGTTCCTACGGTTTAATTGAAAAAAAAGTTAGATAGAACCGACGAAATACCAGCAAAAGTTCGTTTTTAACCTTTTTAAGGCGGTAAAGGTGAATTTATTAGAGGTAAAAATCACGAATCAGCCAAAAGATAGCTAATTTAAACGTAGTTTGTTAAAATTTTACCTTTATTCTTGTATTTTTATAAATGTGTGGATTATAACAAATAATTTTACATTATTTGTTTCAACATAAAAGTGGTAGCAAAATAAAACACTAAATTACCACAATACACTAAAACACTTTTACTTTTGCAATGGACGCGCGTTTCGCAAACTATGTTAGCATCATCAGCAGATGATTAAAACTAATATCAGTCTAAACTAATAAGTCAGTTAAATATATCTTTTATGTGTAAAGAATCTTACTGTCGCTGTATGGGGGCTCCTGACATGAGTTGCACAATTATTCTCCCATGCCCTACAAAGCCCATCAAAAGTGTTTTTTCAGTCAAAATAATTTTGGTCACAAAATCAGTCGCGATGTTTTTATAAGGCTTAACATCATTGGAGCTCAGAATACTTGTTACACAACTTAAAATAAACCAATATGTAGGCATGATTGCAAATTTCAATGTAAAAGACGATAGTTTGGCCGGCTGGTACTAAACAGGCTGAGCTGGTTATACGTGAACCGCGAGGTGGAATATCAGTCATAAGAGAAATTAACTTAAAACAAATAAACGTTTCTCTAATATTACTCGCTTCGCCGATTCATATACAACGTATATAATAAACGTTTATATATCACGGATTTTGACACTATTTAGTCTGAGTTTCGTTAAAATGAAGGTACCCTAAAGGGCTGCTAAATTTGCCGAGTCTATTATGGGAGGGCTGTTTTAATAGACAGGATAGAGCTTTAAAAAGAGCCTCAATTTTGGGGCAGATTACCTAAAGAAAGTTCACGTGCTTGTCAAAAGCTGGTGATTTAGGGCGTATACATGTGTAACGCGTGTGTGTAACTGATATATATGAAATTAGGGATAATGCAATCATTGAGGAAAAATGATTTTGTACAGGATGTTCCATTTTCGTGTATTTTATGGGCATTCTCGTTTCTCTAAATTACTGTACTTATAAGGATCAAAAGGTCCGACCAAGAGTACTCTCCACCCTAATGTAAAGTACTCTTTCAGGGAGTTTTCAGGTGGAATTTTACACTATTGCCATTTGCTTTGGCATTGAAAAGTGTGTAAGAGTACCAAATTTCAAGAAAACGGTTTACCAGTGTTCTTAAAAATAAACACAATATATTATTTTTATTTACCCTTTCGATTGCTGTAACTTCTTCAGCAAACATTTTAGGACATATATTCACAGGAACTTTTTTATTGGTATAATCATCCTCCAAAGTTAAATACACTATTTTTTGACATCCTGTATATAGAAAATACCTGTTTCGAAATGTAACCAAAAATATAGGGATTAAATGACTACAACTGTTAAATCGATTGGTCTCCATTACTCTTATAATACATGATAAATATCACAATTATTTAACTTAGCTAAAAAATGCTCAAAAATTATTTAGCATCCTATGTACTCTAGTTGACATTTACCAGTAGTGCAACTATTGTAATATACTTTATTTTCAATTCGCATCAATTTTTCCTAGCAAATCACATCATATTTTATTTTTCAAAAAATGTTATAATTCTTTGTCATACGATATGCTTTTATTACAAATATCACAAATATACAACTTGACAAGAAAGTACTCAATTACTTAGCATCCCATGTATTCTCTGTCATTTAGTTGACATTTACCAGTAATGCAACTAATGTAGTATATTTCATTTTCAATTCGCATCAATTTTTCCTAGCGTGTCACATCATATTTTATTTTTAAAAATAGTTATAATTCTTTGTGATACGATACGCTTTTATTACAAATATCACAAATATACAACTTGAAAACAAAGCACTCAATTATTTAGCATCCTATGTACTCTCCGTCATTTAGTTGACATTTACTAGTAGTGCAACTAATGTAATATACTTCATTCTCAATTCGCATCAATGTTTCCTAGCATGTCACATCATTATTTTATTTTTAAATAAAGTTATAATTCTTTGTGATACGAGACGCTTTTACTACAAATATCACAAATAACAATTTGACAAGAAAGTACTCAATTATTTAGTACCAATGTACTTTTTGTCATTTAGTTGACATTTACCAGTAGTGCAGGAGAGACGTATAGCCGCCCATACTAAATTATGTTAATATCTCGAAAACTGCGACTTTGACTGATTTTGATGTTATTACAAATTTTGTTGCAAATATTATTCCTAATCTTAATTTGAAAACCGCGTTTCGCTAGCTACTGTAATTTTGGAGTTACGATTTTTTAAAATTTTTAACCCCCTCCCATACCCCCTTACCAACCTCCCACCCCCACCAAAAACTAATGGCCAGATTCTTGGGTGCCACAGTATTTTTGTGCCATATTTGGTTAAAATCGGTTCAGCGGTTTTTGCGTTATCGTGTTACAGACGGACAGACAGACAGACAGACAGACACCATGAAAATATTTTGTATTTTGGTCATTTATGACCCAAGTAACTCATTTTGAGTGAAATTAAAAAAACTTTTGTGATAGGATACACTTTTATTAAAAATATCACAAATATTCAGTTTGACAAGCAAGTACTCAATTATTTAGCACCCATGTACTTTTTGTCATTTAGTTGACATTTACCAGTAGTGCAACTAATGTAATATACTTTATTCTCAATTCACATCAATGTTTCCTAGCATGTCGCATCATATTTTATTTGTAAATAAAGTTATAATTCTTTGTGATACGATACGATTTTATTACAAATATCACAAATATACAACTTGACAAGAAAGCACTCAATTATTTAGCATCCCATGTACTCTCTGTCATTTAGTTGACATTTACCAGTGGTGCAACTCATGTAATATACTTCATTTTCAATTCGCATCAATTTTTCCGCCATATCGCTACGTTTTTTAAGTCATAATTCTTTATGCTGCGATACACTTTTATTCGTTTAGCTATCGCGAAGCGCAAATCTTTTAAAAGAAATGTCGTATGCTGCAAACGTTCTACGAAATCAATAATTTGTAAAAAATTAGAGGTAGTAAAGTTCTATTGTAATGCGATTTCAGACGTAAAGTAAAACAAATGGATCGCTGCTAGCAATAGAAAAAAAACCATACCTACCTTTTCGATATTGGCGCGGCTCTGAAATGCGAGGCGACATCTATCGATTAATAATGCGATTGATGTGTGTTAAGTGGCTGTTGAACATGCACGCTATAGAACTAGCGGTACGGTGGATCGAGAGCCAACTTATTTCACTGTCAGGGTTGTCTAAATAATATGATAAGCGCTCTAAATATAGATAATTTGTGTGTGAAGAGTTTTGGGATAATATTTTGATCAGTTAGTTACAGGGTGCCTCATCGAGAATTATACAGAGTGATTTGTGGCCATGGATTTGTGGCCATGGATTCGTGGCCATGTGTTATACGTTTATGGGGAAACCGGTGACAGGATTTTTTTTTATTTGAATTTGAACGAGGTAAGATAGTAGGCCTACGAGAGGCTGGGATAACTTTTCGGAAAATTGGAAACAGGATTGACAGGAATGCTGCAATGTTGGATAGGGTATCATCGCCATACATATTATAGGGGTACAGGGGCTTCAAGAAGAACAAGTCATCTTGAAGAAAGGCACCCTAGATTTAGTGCGTTTAGAGACAGCTTTAATACAAGCAACGGAATTGGACATGAGGGTAGCTACCGGTCAACAAATATCCATGAGGCTACACTCATACAGTCTGCGATTGGTATTGCCATTAACTAATAGACAGCTACGTTGACAACCAGAGACACTAATTGATGCGATGTTTTCTTCGAAGGTATCCTGGAACGCGACCAATACTTTCGCAACGAAAGAGCTCCAGCACCTGCGTTCTACAGAGAGAAAACGAGCCAGCAACAAGAACGGTTAGGGGAAGAGAAGCATTGACTTCAGTTAATGAAACGAAGAGCAATAGCTAAATCCTCTCCCTGCAAAGTACCTAATGTCTAACGGCGGTTTCTCGGTTTCAACCTGAGTGCGAGCGACATACCAAGCCAAACATCTGGCTCTGAGATAAGCAAATGTATTTTCCTACCTCTATAAAAAATGCTACGTCTAGCATGGTGTCAAGAACACCTCACTGGAATCAGGAGTGAAATCGGGTTGTTTTCAGTGACGAGTCACGTTTTTGTTTCTGGGCTCACGATGGCCGTAGAGGAGTCCGCAGACATGAAGGCACCAACTTCAATTTTGCATAGAGCGTGAGAGTGAGCTTACGAGGGGCTTTATTTTTCAGGGTACCATAACAATTGGAAACAGATCACTTCCAGTTTTTTTGGACAGAAACATGAATGCTCAATTTTACATTAATAACGTGTTACAACCTCTCGCGTTTAGCAACTGCAAAATCGAAGTTTCGAGCATGACAATGTCACACCACATACCGCTGCATTTACTAAAAACTTCTTCTGACAAGCTAATGTAACACTTTTTTTTGTAGTCCGCAATTGAACATGTCTGGGATATGACAGGTAGGAGGCCACCAGAGTCGGTTGACACATTTTATACTAGATGTGCAACATCTACATCACGAGGGTGACATTAGCCTGGGAGAACCTACCACAGGAAGATATCATCGATCATCTGATTCGCAGCATGCCACGAAGAGTTAGAGAAAGTCAAAACTTACGTGGAGGTACAACTTGGTGCAACTCACTATTAGATTGTTAAGAAATCCTTTGAATACATTTGTTTCAAAATGTCATCGACTATTATTCATATTTATCCCAAATACTTGCCAAAATATCAATAAAATATATTTTCATTTACTGGGTGTTGCAAACACACACGGCCATGAATGGCCAAAGCGTCACGCGAAGCTTCACTCCAAGGTCGCCAGGCATCACAAAAATAGGATACTGTAAAATACGCAACCAACCGTCCAATCAGAGAAAACTGACAAGATATATGCGTTATTTTGGTTATTTTATCTTATTTGTGTTATGAGTTATGGTTGAGAATTGTTTTTTAATTCAGACTTTTTAGTTCGTTTGATTTAATAATTACTAAAACCAGCAGTTCCAAAAATATATTTAAAAATTAAATATAGAAATCCAAAATATTAATTATACTAGCGTGTACCAGCGACTTCGTTCGCGTCGAATTAATCATTTCTAATGGTGATGATAAAGCAAAGCAAGAATTTCCATTAACATACAAACTGGATAAAATTTTCTCACATTTATGTCAGCATGAAAAAAAAACAATATGGCGATATTATTATATAACTTGGTAATAGTTGAGGGGTAGTTTCATCTCGTTGGAATTTGACTTTCGAAAAATCCGTTTGCCAAAAATAAGCTTTTTACGTCAAGCAGTTTAAGCAGAATTGTGGTTAAAAATTACCCAACTTTTTGGAACACCCTGTATGATTTTTTAAAAATTTTCAAAATATGTAAAAAAACCAAATAAATTATGCTTGTCCAAGCATTTTCAATTTTCAACAAATATTGTAATATTTGAAGGGCGTTTCACCCTCTTGGAATTTGAGATTCGAGAAACCCCTCCTTATCGAACCTCTACACCCCACAGTCAATCCGTTTGCCAAAAATCAGCTTAAAACGTCAAGCAGTTTAAGCAGAATCGTGATAACTCAATGGCCATATTTTATGAAACATTCTGTATAAATTTATAAAAAATCTTAAAATATGTAAAACAACAAAATAAAATATACGTGTTTAAGAGTTTTTTTCCGAAAAACTCACCGGTTTTTAAATAAAAAAAATTAAAATTATTTGAGGAATAGTTTCACCCCCTTAGAATTCGAGTTTCGAAGAATCCCTTCTTATCGAACCTCTACACCCTAAAGTCCATCTGTTTTCAAAAAATCAGCTTTTTACGTCCAGCGCTGTAAGCAGGATCGTGATTAATCAATGACCAGATTTTTCGAAACACCCTGTATCCATTTTTAAAAAATCTTAAAATATGTAAAAAAACAAAATAAAATATACGTGTTTAAGCGTTTTTTCGGAAACTTGACCGTTTTTAAATAAAAAATATTGTAATATTTGAGGGGTGGTTTCACCCTCTTGGAACTGGAATTTCGAAAAATCCCTTCTTATCGAACCTCTACACCCTAGAATCAACATGTATGCCAAAATTGAGCTTCTTACGTTGAGTGGTTTGAGCAGGATCGTGATTAATCAGTATGTCAGTCACTTAAAGATTTTATATATTAGTATA